CTGACAGCACCGTACTGCGCACCGTTGATACCATAACCGTAACCGTGGGGCTGCTGCTGCGGGGTACGTAGCACACCACGCAACGCTACGTGACCATCCTGAGCGTATTGTCCGGCTCCAATCTGTCCGTGTGCCACCTGCAAATCGATCAATAAATATCGATGCTGTGAGGGATTCAAAATAACAAATCTTATCGAAATCCCTCATGCTCAACATGAAAAATTTGAAAAAATCAAAGTGTTTAGAAAATGTGAGAGTTGACGAACCAGAGTTGCCTTAGCTGGTGCAACAACGTCTTCGAGCATAGTCGACCCTTCGTCTCCTTCAATTCCCAGATGATCCTTCATAGCCTTCTTCTTCACGATAATGTCAATATAGCCAGCGATGAGCTGCCCAATTTTCTCACCATCCAACGTCTGCACGGAGTAGTAACCATCTTGATAGTCACCGAAGTCCTGGAACGGATGAGCTGAACGGTTGGTAAGCAAGGATATAAGAGCGCCGATCGGCTTAGCGAGGGCATTCCCTAGTTTCCATCGGTTCCTGTTGCTTCCTGTTAAGCTATACAATCGCAGGAGCTTCGCTTACACTCGACATGAGTCTACAGGTCTCATCAAGATGTGACGCGTAATTTAGTGGCACCTAGCAAAAGGAAGTAGCAAAAGTGCAAAATGCCCCTATAAAGCCGAACAGTGCCGAAGCAAGGTTCAAGTTTTTTTTTCAAAGCTGATAAGAAAATACAAGCATAAAACTTTTGGGTAACATGGTGATGAAGAAGAAACAGCAAAAACTGTTTGGTGTTTGGAACCGCGTTGACAAATCGAAGAACAGAAAGACAAGTCCAAGTAATGAATTGTTTAGTTGTAAGAAGGCTAACGGAAACGGCAATATTCAACTTCTACCCGACATCTTGTGGCACTCGAAAAGGATAAACAACGGCGTAAAAGGGATAAATAAAGGATAAAGTCTCCGCCGATTAAATCCCTTTGTGGGATGCGGCACGCATTCTACTTCCATTCAGAATCGTAGTGGCTTATTGAATGGCCTATACAATGACTTGCGGTGGCCAGCCGATGTACAAGTCAGTGTTTTATCCTCCCAGACGAATCTGGTACCAATTTACGTCCCCGGAGGGTAGAAGGCTTGGTTGGCCTGGGCGGGAGTCGACCCGGGATTCGAACCCAGGACCGCGCGAGTGGTAAGCGCGCCACTATAAGGGATAAATATCGACGATAAATGAGGGCACGTTAAGGCCTATCATCCTATACCAAAAGCATTGAGCCAAAACGCTCAGTTAACGCTAACAGGACTCGATCCGAGATTTGGTCCCAAAGTGTGAGAATGGTAAGCAGCACCACTTGCCATTGTACCACCTCTGCCTCAGTGTAGCTGATCTCCGGGGAGCTTGGTTCAGGTGCAAACAGGGTTCTTCTCTCTGGCACCCAGTCCATGCAGCAGTCAAGTCAACTAGCCAGGGAATCTCTGCTGGTTTGCGCGCGATGTCGCGGCACCGGCCTAGCGACGTACAAGATACCCACTATTTCCAACCAATAAAGGATGAAGCATTAAGTCTCCGCCATTGACCTACTCCTTTTTGGGATCCTGCACGCTTTCCGCTCCCATTCAGTTAAGTGCAATGTGACCTATGCAATGAATGATTTACACTCGAAATCCCTGAGATGAGGTAGGCGTGGCTGCGTACTTCAACTA